GACAACTGAGCCCTGTACTTGGGCAGAGGGACATGGAAGGGCAAGAAAGTAGGTAGGAAAGAGGCTAAGGGAAGCCCTGGGAAAGATGCTATTAGGTTTCATAAAGCCCAGTGTTTCTGAGGTGATGAGCACTGGTGGCTGAAAAGGCAGGGGCACCGTGACTAAAAGAAGGAAGATAGCTTCATACATGAAGCTCTAAAAAGCCAGATATATTATGACACTCAGAGCAAGTGGGCCAGGAAGCAAAGACACCACATCTCCAATGGCATACAAATCTACAGTGGCTCTGGAGATTCCGGCACATCCAAATATGTACTAAACTATGTGCAGGGCATTGTGGCAAAGGAGGCAGGGAAAGTAAGACATAACCCTCGCCCTCAAATGACCTCAGTCTAGCAGCGGGGACTGGACCCAAATCACAGGGAACAGGGAAGACTTTAGAAGGGAGGTGGCATGAGAGCTGCGGACTGGCTGGTAGAAAGCATTCCACTAGGCTGAGAAACAAAGTCTTGAAGGGAAATGAGAGGCAGAAAGACCTGCATGAGTAAAGGCACTGAGGTAGGAACACAGAAGCCACGTTACGCTGTAGCTGGAGTATTAGGGCAGCAGTGGGAAAAAAAAGCTAAGTGAGGGTCAGACTAGAACAACTCTAAAACCAGGTTAACAAATTAGGATGGGTAGGATTCCTTTTTTTTAAAAAAAATACATGAGCACTGGGTGCTTTTCAAGTTAATAACAGATATTATATGTAGAGTGCTTACTCTGTAGAACCTACACATGCCCAATGCTACAAAACCTTAGATGGTAGGTGGCATGCTCCCACTTCCATATGAGGAAAGAGAACTGCAGAGCGGTCACAGCTTAGCCAGGACACACAGCTATTAAGGGCAGGGTTGGATTCAGATCCTGACTCCACAGTTTATGCTCCCTCCTTGTGATCTTTCTCACCTGGGGTTTCTCCTTTGAACCACAACTGGGAAATTATTTGAGTAATGATTTTCTCAATTCTCTCAAGAATGGTACATAACTCGTACCACTTTAGATGCCTGGGAGAGAAATTAATTCCTTGTGTGCAACAGATGCCTTAAAACATTAGAGCTTAATTTTCCAGAGGAACCCTGGTTGAGAAAGGCTGCGTGACAAGAGATATGTTTTAGGAAAATCAATCTGGCAGTGGGATCACATCCCTGGGAGGAAAAAGCTGCAAAAGCACCTAAAGAGCCTCGGAACTACTGGGATGAGTCAGCTCCAGGGGCTTGAGGAAGGAGGCCCCCATCTTCTCTAATTACTTGTCTTCTCAGTTGTCCTGCCCTTCCTTCATTCCTCCAACCTTTTCTTGTACTTGGCAGTCAAGTACTGAAGCAGAGCCTTCCTGCTCATAAGCCAGCAACCCAGGCAGAAGCAGCATCTTCAGAGATGAAAACCACAGAAGCCAGTGCACCCACTTTTCTGTGGAGGCTGGGAGTAGAAAACTGGCACTACTGAACTCAGAACTCTTCCACAGAAATCCATCTGGCAAACTCCTATTACTCTCCCTGATAAGGCTGAAGCACGCCATCCTCTGGGAAGCTTTCTGTAACTGATTCCACCTCCCTGCTCACCAGGCAGAAGCAGGTATTTCCTCCTCGGTATCCCCACAGCCCCTTGTCCAGGACCCTGCTCGAGCATCTGCCTGCTGTCACTGCCTGTTTCCATGTCTGTCTCCTCTACCAGTCTGAGCCTCTCTCAGGGTCAGGGACAGTTTGCCAGATCCATCTTAGGATGCCCTGAGGTCCATGGTCTCAAAGATGGCAACTGGCTTACCCAGAGTCACACTACAGAGCTGAGATCAGACACACTACAGGTCTGTCTGATCCCCAAGACTGTGTTCTTTTCACTATGTTTCAGGGTCTCCCGAAGATGAAGAAGGGCCTTTCTGTGCTAAGCACCCAGCCCAACACTGAAGAGTTCAGAGGTGGTGCTATCAGAGTAGACCAGACCACCTGGAGAGGCTTCCTTAGAGGTAGATCCTTGAAGAGTCTGAGGATCTAGCTGAGAAGAGAGGGAACACGATGGTGTTTTAGGCAAGGTGGGGAAGTTGAGGGGCAGAAACAGAATTAAGAAGCCATTAGGTAGGAGTATAGGTTTCATGGGGGAGGAATGGGATTACAGCTGCCAGGTGAGAGTTTGATTTCTTTATACAATCGTGGAGCACCTAGGAGCGTTTATAGATGTCATCACTAATCCTTATGCCCACTAATCACTGTGATATTTCCCAGGTGTTACTTTACAGACAAGAAAACTGAGGCTTAGAGAGTTAAAGTAACATGTCCAAGCCAACAGAGCTAGTAGCTGGGGAAGCTGGGATTCAAACCCAGGTTGGTCTGACTCTGAAGCCTAAAGTCCTTTTTATTACTCCATGCTGCCTCTTAAGAGGTCAGAGAACTTCCCACATTACCAGACTGATGCTGCTGCCTGGACCACCCCCCACCCCCAGCTCTCACGTGGGGACTGCTGATCAGAGGGCAAGCGCGGTTGCCCCCTCTAGCTCTATCCCTCTAAGATCTGGGGGCCCTAAATCCCTGTGGACTAAGCAATTTCAAGGACAAGGGTTCGGTGTTGACCTCGTGAGCACAGGCTGGCCCTGTGTCTAAACCTGCCTTGGATCTCACAGAGAAAGCCTCTAAGGTGCTGTAGCAAAGCCGGTGGCAAATATAGGCTAAAAAAGCTGGATGGTCAGGAAGGCAGGGCCTGCCTTCCCTGAAACCTTCTGGAGGAGGTCAGCTGAGGTCAGAAAATTTCGGAAATGTCACTGACAAGAGCCCCTAGGACAAGGGAGCAGGATCCTGCCTCTCGGTTGGCTGGTCACACACACAGGCAGACCAAGAGAGGTCAAGGGGGGAGGGAGGTCAGAAGTTGGCAAGCCTGCAGGCCCTGAGTGATGGCCACTTGTTCAGGTCAGGAAGGGAGAAATAAGTGGGTTAATGGTTTTGGCCCTTGAGGCTGGGAGGCTAGGGCAGGGGGTGTAAATGGATTCTGGGTAAAAAGGCAGGTGGGTGAACTGTAAAGGTGGGGGCTAAGGGCATCTGTTCCAAGTCAACAAGCAAGAACCATGCCCCTGGAATGGCTCAAAGGGCCAGCCTTGGCCTGGGGGGTGAGTGTGGAGGGGTGCTTCATAAAAGGCCTGTGTTTCTTCATTTCAAAGGTGTTCGATCTGGAAGGCTGGGGAGAAGGACTCTTTTTATAGTGAATTCCCTGTCTGCTTAGGGGCTGAGGGGAAGCAGGGAATGTAAACCACTGGACAATAGCTGGGGGTATTGATTGATTTTAAGGCATGGCAGAGAGAAGCTCCATGGTGAACACTGCAATTCCTAGCTACAGATGTCTCGTCGGAGAGCTTTCCAAAGGACAAAGTGAGTAGCGTCTTGCTTGGGGACATTTTCTAAGTCTCTGCTTCTGAGAGCAATGAGTTCTTGCTCCAAAAGCATCAGTCATCCCAGGCGCCGTCACCACATCTGTGAGCAGTCCTGCGCCTCACAATGTACATGCCCCAGATCAAGGCACACTCTGGCTGCTCTGGGGCAGGTAGGTCCCTTGTAGGCTGGGGATATGGGCCAGGCCTGAGTCTTAAGTGAGTGTGGCTAGGGCTGATGGAAGGTGGCAGGATTTGAGGGTTACTGAGAAATCCTTCCAGTCCAATCACATGACAAGGACTAGAAAATGATCTGGGGAGGTTGGGCCAGGGAGGCAAAGGCTCTGGGACTTAAAGAACTTTCGTTGAAGACTGGGTTTTGAAAAAGTGATTGGCTGCAAAGGACAGGTTGGCAGAAGATACAGAGAAGAAAACCACACCTCATTTAAAAGAATCTATTTCAACCAGTCAGAGAAGAACTAAAATGGAATGGACTCCTAGGGAAGAAGTAGGATTCCCTGAGTCCCTGAGAGAATCCAAGGAAATGCCAGTCAGCCAGCTGTTGGAGAGGTTTCTGCCAGGAGAAGAGAAGTCAGGCAATCAGGGTAACCCAGAGGACTTCTGAGGATCCTTCTAGCTCCCAGGTTCTATGAAGAATGACCACTGACAAGGAATACCCTGGCGTCCAGGCCCAAGAGAGGGTCCCTAAACCTTTAAGAAGTGTAAGTGAGGGCATAAACAGGCAGTCAATGCCTTACTCACTCTGGGGCCTGGGCACCACACATCCTGGCAAGATGCTTCCCTCCCTATTCCAAGGAGAGGCTGGAGTGGGATGAGGGAAAGTGACTGTGTGGGAGGCATCTGACAGGGTGGCAGGTAACTCTGTAGCGGGCCTGGATAGGACCAGACTAGCCTGAGTCTGGGGATGGTACGTATTATCCCTCCAATTAAATCAATGCTCTCTAAAGGAAGGGTATTCAATCATTCAACAAAGAGTTACTGAGTGCTTACTGTGTGCCAGGTACTTTACCAGGTGCTGGGAATGAATCAGCCATGGTTCTTGCCTTTGCTTTCAGGGAGCTCAGAGTCAGGTTAGAGAAAAGGCTACTGAACACACAAAAACAATTCCAGATTGCAACAAGTGCGATGACAGAAAAGAGTAGGGTACCATGACCCAGAGTAACGGAAGGAGCCTAATTTAGACTAGGGTGGAGGTGGGATCAAGGAAGATGTCTTTGAGACTGGGGTTAGTAGAGATTTGAAGGGTCTCCCCCTTGGTCCACCAGCCCTGCTCTGGAGGTCACAGGGAAGAAGACAGGACACTTTGGGGGAGAGCAACCATCAAGAAAACTCTCAGAGCATGTGCAGACAGGCAGGATGGCATGGTACCTCACACAATCACAGGCAAAGAACGCACTCCAGCCACATGAGGCCAAATCACACATGCACACAGCCACTCTCATGAAGTGCAGGCACCCTCGAGGCATTTCCAGCTCTAAGAGGGTAACAAGGCTCTGGGGAAGCATGGCATTTCCAGGGTAGAGAGGTTGCTAAGTCCTTACCCTCTTTCCCTGCCCCCCCGCCCCACCCCATTCACCCATAACCTCACCTCCACCAAGCAGCTCCCTGACGGTGCGGTAGTCGTCGGCAAGGACAGCATAGTGCAGGGCTGTGCAGCCCTTGAAGCTGGCACGGTTGTTCAGCCGGTTGTTGAAGTCATCCTCTCGGGTGACCAGGACTAGAGGGACAGCAACACAAATCCTTCCATTAGCAACAAATGCCATGAGCTGCCAACCTCATCTTCTTTCTCTTGGCATTTTAATTCCCTCATTCACTCATCTACCTACTTACTAAACATATAATGGCACCTACTATGTGCCTGGCCATCTGTGCTGGGAAAGAGGAGGTAAAACAGAGCCCATCCACAAATGTTTACTGACATCCATTATGTTGATAGGATTCACTTGGGGACACGGAAATAAATCAGACATGGTCCCTGACCTAATCTGACAAAGGAGGCAGACAGTAGACAGATGTTTACAGTATTGAGATAAATGCCATTATAGGTATAACGGGATGATACAGAAAGCCAGAAGGGAGCTTAGCTCAATTTGGGTATGGAGAGGATCTCAAAAGATGACAGTCTTGAAGGGTGAAGAGAAGTTATCCAGGTGAAGAAAAGAAGGCTAGGGTAAGACTCGCGACAAGGGACTTCCCTGGTGGCACAGTGGTTAAGAATCCGCCTACCAATGCAGGGGACACGGGTTCGAGCCCTGGTCCGGGAAGATCACACATGCCGCAGAGCAGTTGGGCCCGTGCACTGCAACTACTGAGCCCATGGCTCTGGAGCCCGCGAGCCACGAGTACTGAGTCTGCGTGCTGCAACTACTGAAGCCTGCGCGCCTAGAGCCCGTGCTCTGCAACAGGAGAAGCCACTGCAATGAGAAGCCCATGCACCACAACGAAGAGTAGCCCCCGCTCACTGCAACTAGAGAAAGCTCACGCACGGCAGCAAAGACCAAACGCAGCCAAAAATAAATTAAAAAAAAAAAAGAAAAGAAAAAAGACATGGGACAAGTCAGGAAAGAGACAGAGGCTGTTCTTAGCAGAACAGTAACATACCTCCTCTGTGCTCTGAAGACTCTACAATCTAGTGAGTATTTAATATTTCGTAAAGAACTTTTAAAATTTATAAAAGCCGTTAAAATTTGAAAGTACAAAGAAGAAAAAGCATCATTATCTCTGCAACTTGAGAAACTGCATTTAGTATTTTGGTACATGTCCTCTGATATCTATATCTACATCTGTATCTATAGGTATAGCTATACCTGCATATATATCCTACAAAACTGGAATTTACTACATTGCAATTTTGTAATCTGCTTTTTTTCCCTTAATAAATGTACTGTGAACATTGGTTTTGAAGGTAGGAAGAATAAGCACTTCATGTGTCAAAGAACCAAAAACCCCCAGGCTCACTCTAGTGCTAATATTAGTGACTCTCTCTCTCCAAATTGATACAAAAGAACCTAAAACCAGTTGCATCACTCTAGGTTAGGTGACCACACATGTCCTTGTTCACCTGGGACAGTCATGACTTATGCTTTTTGTCCTGAATGGCCCCACTCTGGACAATATTTGGAAGGCTACCCAACCTCTGGGCCCTCCCTTGGGAACCGAGCCCCCGTGGAACGATACTTATGCTGCTTAGGTGATGGGGTTTCTTTCTGCCTCATGCAGAAATTATTAGAGTTCTTGCCTTATGTTCCCTCCTGAGCTTAGTTCATTGGAGGAGGAATTTGGGTCCTACCTACCTGTACCCACTCCTCCCCGAGTCCAGGGCATAGGGCCTGCAGAGGGCAGGCTCCTCCTACCTCCCACTGGATAAAGGCGTGTAATTCATAACCTTGCCTATGTAGTCAAAAGCACCAGACAATTCTGAAACCATTCTTTTCCAAGCTGTCTTGGAATGGAATCTATGCATTTTCCCCTCCTACAAAACTGAACTTGCTATTTAAAGTCCCAAAAGCCAGAAGACTGTCATGCCTTTTCCTAATCCTAATAGATTTCACTTACTGACCTTCCTCTACTCTGGCTGACATGGTCATTTCACACAATCTATTTAACTACCTTATATAGTAGGTATTATAATTCCCATTTTATAGATGAAAGCTAAAGCACAGAGATCATAGAGCTAATAAGTAGTTAAGTGAGGATTAGAACCCAGGTCTAATCTGAGTCCTCACCCTTTTTCCCCATCACAGCATGCTGTCACTCTCATTTTGCAAATGAGGGAATCAGAGCCCAGAGCCCAGATGTTCTGGTCCCAGCCTTGGCTCCTACTCCCTCTTCTTTCCCTGCTCAAGTGAAGGTGCCAGCACACTCTCTGTGGAACTTGCCCTAACAGAGATCAGCCTGAGGTTTGTAGCTAATACCGGATAAGCTTACTTAGGTGGAAGCATTTCAAATGTTTGGTCAAAATGAAGTTGTTGGAGTGTGTAACTGGGGAACAGACCACACTTTCTTGTGGTCTGGTGAATCAATGGTCCATCAGCTCTTCTGTAGCAGTCAGAGGCTCTCCTGACTGATGACCCCCACCCCTGGAGTGTTATCTGACCTTTCCTGGAGCAGGGAAAACAGGAAGAAGGCCTCTGATTAGCTAACGTGTAAGTCCGTTGTGCAATGGCATCTGCATTTTTCTCATAAGAGCCCTTTAGGATCTAACTCAGAGACTAACTCTTGGTCATGAACAGTCTCATCAAATCATGGTAAGGGATCTTGTTTCCAGCCCACTGCAGATTAGAAGAAGCAAACTAGAAGGCTAGGGAGAAGTCTTCAGAATCAAGTACACTGATTACAATCAAGTGCTGACCCGGCAGGGAGGGAAAAGAACAGCACAATATAAAGCTGAAAGAGGAAGCCACAGAATACAGTGCCTCAAGAGCCCCTAGGGCACCACTGAATTGCCACATAGGACATTAACTGCTAGATATAATGATGAACCTGACGAAAAGTGATAGCTGGTTCAAGAAAGCAGGAAGGGTATAATCCATTTTACAAAGGAAATATATCATTCATTCAAAATATATCATTAATGAACACCAATGCATGGTGGTAGCTTCTGGAGATATACTAATAAGACACACTTCTTGACTCTAAGAAGTTAACAGTCTAATGCAAGAATCAGACCACTGAATGGACAAATTATAACACTGTTTCACGAGTGCAAGACAGAGCTATACACAGGGTGCCTACCATAAAAAAGTAGATGAACTCAAGGGACACAGCTGGTCTATTTGGTTCAGGGACAAACATCAGCAGAGTGGCAGTGTCACAGCCCAGCTAATAAGGAATGTCCATGAAGAGGGCCCCTGCTCCCCTCTGAGGTCTCATCACTTACCATCCCCTTCCTAATGCTCTTTCTTGCCTCTTGGATTTTGCAAATACTATTCCACAGCCTGGAACATTTCCCCCTCTCCCATGCCTTCAACTGACTAACTCCAATTCATTTTTAGGCCTCGGATTAAAAGTCATTTCCTCTAGTAATTCTTGCTGAGTTTGAGGTAGTTACTCCTCCCAAGAGCTTCCCTAGCACTTTAGGCATCTCCCAATTATGGTATTTATTACCCACTCCATTGCAATCATCTGTTTACTTGACTACGTTCCCCACTAGACCAAAAGCGCAATAAGGACAGGAAGTGTGACTGTCTTCCCCACAGTTGTATCCCAGTGCCCAGTATGGTGTCTGACCATAAATATGTGCTTAACAAATACTTGTTGAATCAGCAAATGCATACCTAATACATAAATAAGGCCCTAATATTACCTTGTTTTTGGAATAATAATAATAATGCCAGCCAGCAGTATTTAGTAGAGGAAGTAGAGTGCAGCTGTTAAAAAAGTGAGCTCTGGAGCCAGACCACTTGTGTTTGGGTCCCAGTTCTGAATTTACTGACTGTGTAATCTTGGGTAACTCACCTAACCTCTCCATGCCAAGTTTCTTTACCTGTACGCAGAGATGATAACAGTGCCCTCTCATGGGATATTGTAAGGATTGAATGAGACACTGTGATTAAAGGGGCTTGGAACAGGGCCTAACAGTACCTCTTAGTCAATGTCGGCTATTATCCTTACTGTCTAGTCTTGTGCTTCCAAAAGTGTATTCTCTCTGTGAAAAGAGGTTTGGGGAACGCTGCATGCACTTTTCCCCTCCGAAAGGCACAGTTGTGAGTAAGAACCATCTGTTTAATTTGGCATTACTCAGCAGTTTTATGTCTGACAGCCTCTTTCCACCCAACCCTTGTTAAAATCCTGCAGTACTGGTGTTCCATGGAACACTCTTTGGAACTGGGTTGTGCATAACAATCTGTAAAGCACTTCATTTACTTATTTATTTCAGAACGACCCTGTGAGGTGGAAGTTCACTCTCCCCATTTTATAGATGGGGAAGCTGAAGTTCAGCAGGGTGCCACAGTCAGTCAGCGGTGGAGCTAGGACCCAGTCCAGGTCAGCTAGGCCCATTTCATGCTCTTAACAGTAAGCTCTTTTCCCCTCATCGCCCAGATTTAGAAGCCCTGACCCAGGATATCTTGCTGAAACCCCCAGATCATTAGATCTCATACTCTTCTCCATCAAAAAAAAAAAAAAGACTAAAGGTGGGAAGGAGGTGTGTGCAGCATGCACCCTCATGTTCTCACTTGCTCTCACAGAGAAAGCAGAAGCAAACCCACAGAAGCTAAAGTGACTCGTCCAAGGCTGGCTCACCAGCTGGCCACCACCGTGGTCTTTTGAGGCCCGGCGTTTACAGCTGGTCCTCAGCCAGTGAACCATCCCCTCCCCAAAGACATCTACCAGCCTGTCTCCAGCACAGGGGGAGATGGGCTCAGGCTCCTGCTTCCCCTCCAGGCCAGCCATTCCTGTCCCTTCACCCTTGTGGCCACAGGAAGAATGACAAAGCATTACTTTGTTATCCTTCTGCTCCCATCTCTGCCTTTTGATGTTGCAAAGTCTATGGCACGGTGCCGTGGCCAGGGTCAGTCTGAGTGCCGAGGCAGGTGTGCACCTGACGTACACTCTGCAGGATTCCCTGCACTTAGCAGTGCCAAGGAGTTAGCAGAGGTGAAAGTTGTCCCCAAAGCCCTTCCTATAGCTTGGCCACTACTCAGCACTGCTGAAACTGCAGAACAAAACTAAACTAAACAAAACAAACCACTGCCCCCCACAATAAGAAACAGTAAT